CCCAATGTGACAGTGTGGTCCTTAATTACTAAAACATATAATAAACATGGTTACTATTGTAAACTCATTCTGAGAACACGAAAAAATGATAGTATTTTATGTCACCTTGTTAAGCGTAACTAGAGTCCTCGTTACAGGAGCCTTGCTCAACAAATTCGTTCTAGCAAATAGTACCGCCAGGAGACGCGGCCGCCGTCTTCGCAACACATACGAGTACTTGTCTGGAACATACAGATTTAACTCTTTTAAAACCTGGATATGGATTATGTATTGCAATTGCGGTGTCACTTAAAAAAGGGTTAATTAATCAGTAAATAGTAACTGATTAATTAACCCTTTTTTTAATAACGTTACGAGGATAAATAAAACATTTAAAAAATATATAAATGTTTATGTAAGATGAGGTTTTACATCGGTGTATACTTATTTAGTGTCACACCCGCTAACCCACGATTACACTCACAAGTTTACGTCTTATCTATGATGTAAGCTCATTTTAAATATGACGTATACCCAAAGACCAAGGAAAAATAAACTAGACATTATGAGGAATGCACTTTATCTAGAATTGATTTCAGTCAAGAATCTCAAGAATTTTTCTTGTACTTGATTCTAACACTGACATTGATGTTTTACGCAAAACAAAAGATTCCAGTTAGCCATCGTTTATAGACTCGTAAATAAGAATCAATCTATTTATTTTAACTCTATTCATGTTTTATTCATCGTTGCATTCTATCTAGACGTTATAAAAACGTCATTGATTCGAATCGCCCCGTTTAATGTATTCTCATATAAAATGGTATCGATAAAATAAAAAGTCGATTCGATTACCAACCAATTATGGTTGGTAGCACGTTATCAATCTTATTTACCTGTGAATATATTATAACAGATTTTTTTAAATATCAAAGTTATAAAATTTGAAATTTCTATACAACGTAGACACAGAATTAGATTAAAACAACCGAATAAAGTAATTTTGCGATAGGACAATTTTTTACCGTTAAGTTTTTAAATGGCTCGACTCGGATAACTACTTCGAAAAATACTTTAATAAGGTATAAATGATCAATAACTGTTGATATTTATCTGCAATAGGGGCATTCAATTTTGATAGTTTTAATTATGATACCAAATCAAATTATTGAGACATATACGTCATGATTGTAGAATAATATCGGGTTTGAAAAAAATACGAAATTTAAATAATAATAATATGTAGTAATAATATTTAAATTTTAATATTGTTTACTACATTCAAGAAAAAAAAAATGTATTTTAGGTTTTAAATTATTCAGTGTTTGTTTGATAGGCGCTCAAAGTAAAATGAAGCATGATGAATGAAGTATGATGAATTTTGCACTTGTATGCCAATTTTTATAATTACAGATTTAGAATTAAAAAAGTTATGTCAAAAAAATAACATAATTATTTGAAATGTAAAGTAAAGTTGTAAAGTTCAATAAATGTCAAATTCTACACTATTCTACGACTATGAAGATAATATGTCTATAACATGGGTCTTCTTTTGAATATGAATATCATTTTCAATAATCCAACACTTACTTTAACAAACTTTTCTGAGTTTTATTTTCTTACCTGACCTTTAAAACAACGATCTACTTTTAAAATTCGAAATTCCTATAGGTAATTGTAAGCTAAATTTATTTTTAATCGCCAACCATCAGTCGAAAGATTGTTTAAAAAAATTAATTAATAAACTGTTCGGTCATTTACGATGTCAGCGGAAAATACGACGGTGCATATTAATTGGGATTGTCTCACGGCAATCCATCAGAACGTTTTATAGTCCTCGTTGGTACGAGTATTTGCAATATTGAATATAATGTGAGATAAGCGTGAATAATGAAGTGTAATTTAATGCGCTCGTATGTAAAATTGCTGCTTTTTAAGGTCTACTGTTTTGCTTTAGGTCCAATTTTTAGTTACAGTTGTCAGAGTTAAGGAAAGGGTTAGTTTAAAAATAAATCTTACTATATATATAAATAGTCTGTAATAACATAAAGCCTACTTTTTATCCCGTTATAATTTAGTGATGAACTCGACGAGAAAAATCACGGGTAAAACGAGTATTATATTTATAGTCTAGTCTAGCAGTGACCACGAGTGGTCGCTCTGATGGCATATATTGGTATAAATAATAGTTTGAATAAAACATTTACTTTAAAAAAAAAATATATTGTACTTTCTTGAATCTTCGTTTATTGAATTTTCAGACGTACCTAAATCTTGTAAACTCATAGGCCGCAATATAATTTATTTACAGCTATAATCCGATACTTGTTTAAAAATTTAAATAAGAAATGTTTTATGAATAAAACAGCTGTGTAACAAGAACTCTATTGTGTCCAAAATTATATACATACATACCTAGTTTATTGAGTCGCACCTAACGAGTCTTTAAATAATATATAAGTATATACACATATTTATATCTATACCATCTATATCATGTTATAACATATATAACATATAACGAAACATTGGGCAATGACGCATAACATAATAATATCATCATTATAACAAATCACAATAAAGGTTAAGAAAGAATTCCAGAATTAAAAATAAAAACAATACCATGAAATACAGAATTCAGTATACACACTGGTCACACTCATTACTTTTTAATTGATTTCTTCTATTCATTCCCTAGAATAATCGTAATAGAAATAAATAAGATACAAAAATAAATAAATAATAAACTAAATCGGTGTACCCGTTGTAATAATATATTTGTAGGCTTAAACAAATAAATATTTATCTCCATATTGGAATGTAATAATGTGTGATTGATATGGTGTTTTTATAACGTCTTACAACAGTTAAAAAAAGCGGCTATGGCTTTAGAATCTGAAGAAATTAACATAATATCAAGTATAAAGATAGTCTTACATAGATTTACGCAACTTTGAAGAATTACCATGAAATACAGAACTTAGTATACACACTGGTCACACTCATTACTTTTCAATTGATTTCTTCCATTCGTTCCCTATAATAATCGTAATAGAAATAAATTAAATACAAAATTAAATAAATAATAAACTAAATCGGTGTAATCGTTGTAATAATATATTTGTAAGCTTAAACTAATAGATATTTATCTCCATATTGGAAAGTAATAATGTGTGGTTCATACGGTGTTTTGATAACGTCTCACAACAGTTAAAAAAACAGTTTTGGCTTCCAAGAAATTAAAATAATACATATTTAGATGATTATAAACATTTAGATGATTGTTAAATGAAGGCTTACTCATTATTATTTCGTTACTAATTATAGTATTTGATTGCGTAATATTGATTTGTAGTATTAAAGAGTACGCAATTGATGCACTCAAACATACAAAAACTCTTACTCTTATTTATTATATTAATTACAATTAAAAATCAACACGCATATGCGTTGAAGATCGTTTAGTCCTGGAAGCTGCTTGGTGCGTCTCCAGGACAGAAGACAGCTTATTTTCACGCTCTATACTATCTATGTTAATTTATCATTAGGTTTTCATATAAGACACGCTAGGCGTAACAATTTAGCAACCACATTCTTCACCTATGCCCTACGGAAGATCAAGTTGAACCAGTACAACTAGCTTAGTGTTTACTGGTTGCGGAGGAACGGGTGTCATGTCCCGCGCAACACAAAGGGAGGATTCTCCGACAAAGCGAGGTGTTCATGTCTGGCGGGCCGCGGCCCAACGGTTGATGTTGGGTATTTTATGTACATGCTAATCGGCGTGAGAATTATTTATATCGCCATACAGGATTTCGGTGTTTCTTCGTTAGATGGCGATGTAGTATGTTCATGTTTCGCTGTATATGCAAGTCGCCACACTGGTGTTTCTCTTGTAGAATTGGGTAGCGAAAAGTTTTATCGCGTTGTTAGGTGGGATAAGTACCATCCATTGCTTACTATGGCATGAGTTGTGTATAATTTTTAACCGATTTTTTTTAAATTATTAAGTTGATTTTTTGTGTACTTAGAAAAATCTTTTTTATTTATTTAGGAGTGTTAAATATTGGCGCATTGAAGTTGTTTAAAGATTTAATGAAATATCTTTTTAGTTGTATAATATACCCGCCAACTTCTTTCATAGAAAACAGTTTTGAAACCATTTAATTTAGGTATCAATTTCTACAAAATCCGGCGTTTTCTTTAAATTTTCCCTTGCTGTTCATAATTCACCTCTCCTTCCCGTCTCACACTCAATTAATGGAATTGTTTTCAGCAAACTAAGATACTGTTGTTAATTGACGTGTCTTACATTAATACATCATTTAAATTCTCTATAATTTTTGTCATTTCTGTGTAAAATAAAGAGAAAATGAAAGGAAACATTGTAATTAAGCCATATTACGCTTTCATATGACAGCTATACATTAATTTAACCGTTACATCTTAAAGCTGACTCATGAAACGAAAAATCATAAATTATTGTAGTTGGCGAGTTATAGTCGTGTCAAGCTACTTTTTCCAAAGCGTTTCCTGTCATATTAATAAACAAAGTTTTATACCTCAGGGAAGTAATAAATTAATAATGTCCTATGTTGGATAAAATGATATATGAAGTTTTTATACCATTAACACAACAAACTAGAATGTTGCTAATACTCGTAGCTACAGTGCAGTATCACTACCTATGTGAAATCAAAAAGACTGCGAAACTTAAGTTCACTTAATAAATCTTTTTATAATGTAAGAAAAAGAAAAGAGCGTACTCCTTCCTCAACGCGCCTTGCAATACGCTTGTGACTCCTGAGTTGTAGGCGTTCATGGGCGGCGGTAATCGCTTTCCATCAGGTGACCCGTCTGCACGTTTGCCCCCTATTCCATAAAAAAAAAGTGTGACCTTTTAACTTGTGAGCTAAAATTTTGGGGTTAGTGCTGATTCCCCATGTTCTTGTTCCGCTCTGAAAATTTATCTGTTTTATAATTTACCTACAGTGAATAAGATTAAAAGACATCTAATGGCAATGGTACGAAGACGCCTCACTATATACCTACAAAGTTAAAACATGGTACTGTTACATTAAGCACCAATTTCTCACGTTATACGGAGTAAGCCTAGCGCCATCTGCTGAGTGTTCCAACCGAATCACCTAACATAATATCAAGGAACCTGAACCTTTCCCCTGGCGACCAGTTTGAATGTGAGGCTTCTGAGTATGACTCCTGAATCATTTACCGTGGGAGAGCCATGCTTCGGCACGAATGGGCCCGCTCGACCGGAATGATACCATGGCCTCACAGAAAACCGGTGTTAAGCAATTCTTTTGTTGCCTTTCACTGAGTGAGTGAGGTTGCCGGAGCCCAAATCCCCCCTCCTGCTGACTCGAGCGGGAAGGACTCCAAGGGCAGCCACGCACTTGTGACTTTTGAGTTGCAGGTGTCTATGGGCTTCGGTAGTCGCTTTCCATCAGGTGACCCGTCTGCTCGTTTGCCACCTATTCCATAAAAAAAAACAATAATTTAAAAACCGTATCTATCTTTTCAGGTCTGTAGACCGGACATCGACTGCACCCTTCCAGAAAACAGATGGCGGTACATAGAAGAGTTTACCTGTCTGGCAGAGAAGTCGAAACTACAGAAGGAGATGAGACTGTCATTCCCCAGTGGACATTCTTCCTTCTCTGCGTATACTATGCTTTACTTCTCCGTAAGTTATTTATTGATATCATCTAGAGCTGAATAACTAGGTAAGGGTTGTAGATACAATGGTATGGGGTTTTTGTTTATAAAGGTGAAAGGAGACTAATTTTGCATTTGATTCTTTGTTCTTCATACTCATAGCTTTTTCAACTCGCTTGGTTGATGTGCAGAAAAAGTTATGCGAAGGGTTACAGATGTATTGAACATGAGTATTAATTTTGTCCTGCTCATGTAGTAGGAAAAAACCTAGTGCGGCCAAAATATCTTCAACAAGAATACTAAAACCTGCCAAATAACGTAAAAGCTACTAATATTTTATTTTATTTTATTATATTATATAAAGGTGTTGATAAGCGTCAATAGTTTATTGTTTATAACAGTACCATTTAGGAAACATCGATTTGCTGTAGGTATAGCTAATCGATGTTTCCTAAAATAATAGATACCTAACCTTACGAAACCCTTTTAAAGTTAAATATCAGTTGCATTCAACCTCTTCTCTGCAGTCTTCAGTTTCAGTTTGAGTCGTGCATAAAAGGTAATATCTTGTTTTTAATATGCAGATGTACCTCCAAAAGCGCTTCACCTGGCGCGGTTCAAAACTACTCCGACATGGAATCCAATTCGTCCTCATGCTGTTATCTTGGTACACTGTCATGACCAGGATTTCGGATTACAAGCACCACTGGAGTGATGTCCTCGCTGGCTTCGGTATTGGACTACTCTTTGCTGTTGTCATTGTGAGTAGCAAATTTTTATTTTTACAAATCTGTTTAAATTTAATTTTGTGAATTGAACTGTAAGAAGCATCCGATCTTCATCATTTTACATCTTGAGAAATTCAGTTTTTGGCTACATTAAAATACTCACAATTGCCTTTTCAGTTCGCATTCGTCTCAAACCTTCGTAAGGGCTCTCGCTCCCGCAGCTACAACCACGAGGCCGAACCCCGAGCGACCAACGGCAACACTCGAGTGCAAGTTTGACAATCATCCCCCGTCAGTTCTCACTGCGATAGCGCTGAGGAACTATGATACGAGCAGCCCACGGTTTCGTGGATCTCACACGAGTACATAGACGCATGTAGACAATCACGGGAATAACTATGCCGGTGTGTGTGAAGTGTGGCAACAACATCGGCGTGTAAAATTTAAATGTGACGGTAAATCCTTCTTTTGTACAGGCTGGCCTAAAAATATATAATTTAACTATTGCGACTTTAGAACTTGATCTTGATTCAAATTGTAGTTTGTAGGATATGATTGATTAAAATTCAGAAAGGTATAGACTTTATACTGTCTCTGGATTTGGCATAATCTCTTTTTTTTAATCACAAGGTTTAAATCACATAACGTTAAGGTAATGAGCCTGAGGGATTTTACTACCCTGTACCATGAGCATTTTACACATGTACCTTAGTGGTTTAAAAAGCTTTTGACTCCATCCTCCTATAAGGTCAAATGGCGCATATAATGCACGGATTATTTTTCTTGTATGCTATTAGGTTTATGGTACAGTGTAGTAAGAAAACCTTCACAGTTTAAATTAGCTATTTAATGTGACCTTCAAGTTCGCTATTTAGGTATTTTTTGAAATATAAACCTTTTGCCGCTAAGCTAAAAGTTCATGTTAAATTGCTAAAATTAAACTGCAACTTACGCATTGTAAGCGTAAAAAAACTTTATTGTTTATAGTTAAAAATGTTATTTAAAATTGTTTTTTTTTTCTTTTGTGTGGGCTTTTATCTACATATGTATTTATTTTACGGAGTGTACTTTTTTATGCGAGTCGAAACAATTTTAAGGTTTCAATTTTATTAAGTGATACTATTACGCTACAAACATCTTGGACTCCAAATTTTTCACATAAATATTATGTGCATTCAAAGTTTTATTCATTTTATCTTTACAGTATTGGTATTAACTAAGTACCTACACCTGTCTATTCCCTATAGTACCACCATTGCTTTCATACACGGATTTTTGGTTACTGTTTTTACCTTAATCGAAACTAATGTTATTTATAATCTAATAGGCAAAAAAAATATTCATAAAAAAAAAGTAAGGTTCCCACAAATATTAGGCACCAGGCTTTTGCGTTGTATCGTAACAGTATCATTTAAATTATGACTATATACACATTAGACGAATGATATTTTGAGGATTGTGCAATCTGATATATGTATGTATACTCGGTTAAGGTGGTAGATGAATGTAAATATTATATATACCTATATAATTTAATTTGTACTAGAAGTATTACTATAAGTAACTACTATTTAAGACTATGTGTTATTTTAAAGTATCGTAAATGACATACAAAAATAATAGATAACAGTGTTTTGAGGTAATTTTAAAAATATTTCGATTATATTATAGTAATCGTAGTTTTGCAATTTAACCAATTTGGATTATGTTTGAAGTGGATCATGGAACGATCAAAAATACGTTTTGAAAATCTGATGTCTATTATTTTAATGTTTAATTTATGTTAAATGATCATTATCAATGGCAGCTAGTTTCCTTATAATATGACGTCTACAAAAACAGCAATAGAGTTGTTTATCGAACAATCACCAATCGTAGTGATTGTTAGTTGAAATTTAAACTTATAAAGTAAACTTAAAATGTAAATTACGTCATTTTTTTTATTACGACGAAGTAAATTATCGCAGAGTAGCTGATAAAAGCCGTAAATTGGGTACTAAGAGTAAGCACATTTTATTTTTGACCTAAATAGTCGAATCTTAATGAAGCCTTCAGCTGAATAATAATTATGTAGTGACCCAAGTATTCATAAAGCTTATATTTGCAAAACCAGCTAATATTGTAAGGTATAATTTAAAAAATACTAGTAAGAGGTTTTCTTTACCAATCAATTTAAAATTCATTGTGGCCAGTGTGGACAGTGGTGACCACGAGGTCATTGGCAGTGGCCAATGACCTCGTGGTCACCACTGTGTAGGAACTGATGTTCCTTCCTTTCCAGGTCAACACCAAGTCGGAAAGTTGTTTATGTACTAATAGAATAAACTAATAGAACTTTCTTTGCGCGATGTAGGATCAATAGTCACAATGTAGTTCAGCTCGTGTACGCTAGATGACGTTTATATACGTTTTTGTTGTAGGTCCTAAAATGGGTACATAACGTCTCCATGATGTGAGTGTTTAAAATAAGCTTATTGGACTTAACTTCTTCTACTTAATCCACAGAATCTTTAGATTTTAATGCAAATTATAAAAACAAAAATGCAAAAAATATACCTATATTTTACGGATTACCGTAACCCCACTCTTTATTAGAAAAACACTTTAAATGTTATAGTTATAGATCTTAGTTGCACATCTAAAGTTATAGTACAACTTAATTATAAGATTAGATTAGATATCACATGTGTGTTTTGTCAAAATTTAACGAATTTTATAAATCTAGATTTGTCTTTGATACGTGATGTTAGTAATTTGATATTATATCAAGTATGAAAACAAATTTCACATCATTTGTAACAAGTGTTGGCTAAATTTTGTATAAATACGTATTTTTGTCATAGTATAAACATTACTACTCTATGGGAATGTTGGGTAAAACGTACGTACATACGCTTTTAGTAAGGTATCTGTTGTTTATTTTATATGTCGGAGAAAAAATTTAACAAATTAATTGTCAAATGTTGAAAAAATCAAATCTTTAAAATATTTTTTTATATATGTTTATATACATACCAACTTATATTTGTGTTTATTAAACATTAGAAACAATATATTAGAGGACTCCAACACCATAATAATGGTTAAAACGCTTCCATGGTACCTTTAAGGATGTTTTTATCCAAAAAAATATTACACATGTTCGTTTATTACTCAAAATAGGATCCTCTAATCGTACAGAATTGAATTGGTTGACAAAAATACGTATTAGCAACTAAAATATATATGTGTAGTCGTAATATGCAATGAAGTCTCGAAGACAGCTGTAATTATGTATTTTTATACTGTGATATAGACTTTTAAAAAGGAATGAGATCAGAGATGTATATATAGTGAGGGTGGACAGTTAAGTTAGTTTTATTATTATTGTGACCACAAACGGTGTACCGCGTCTAGTAGTCGATGGTCGTAAATAGACAGGACCGCCATCATGCTATCTACCTATTGTATGTATTAACAAATATATAAGTATGTTTATTATTAGTCTGGTTACTAGCGTAGGCTCTGTCTAGTGTGTAATCAGACTCTGTCTGGATTTGTTTAGATATTATTTAATCATCTCATAATCGGTATTTTATTTAGATTGTGTATTAATCTATTGACATATAGATTCATAGTTTTAACTTATCATATCTATTTTAAGGGCTTTTGCTTCTTCTGTTGGGCCTGTTGGCTTAGTGGTTAGTGACCCTGACTGCTTAGCCGGAGGTTGTGGATACGATTCCCACCCAGGACAAATAATTGTATGATGAGTTTTATGATTTGTTCTGTCTGGTTAGCATAGTACAGGCTCTGCCTAGTTTGCGATCAGACTGCCGTATCTGATATGTGTGAAGTTATTACTAATATTATCAATTGCTTAGCAGCTAGCAGCCAGAGTAAGAATACTCAGTATGCATAATCTCTGTAATTTAACAAACAAATAACAATTGATTTAAAAATGTTACGATTGGAAAAAAAAAGGTTTAGCATACTGTGCACAATGTTGCTTTTAGTATCAAATGGATCAAAAGAGTACTTCTTGCACAATTTATTGTTGAGTTGAGTTGAGTTTTTTCTATAGTTGGAGGAAGAAAATGGAATAGAACTATCAGTTATTAATCCAGTATAATATTTTGAGTTTACAAAAAAGATGGTATATATTTCTTACAGCTGTTAATCCTTTATATCATTTAAAAGTAATGGCACGAGTTTTGATGACATTTCCCTTTATCGGTCAAAGCGCGGTACAACGTGTGATCACAGAATATTAATTTGATATACAACACTTTAAATACTTACACAAGTTTACATCTAAAATAGTAGTCAACTAAAATATGTACATACAGATTAAGTTCAATAATGAAAATCCAAGGCTATAGGGCAAAATTTAAAGAATCTTTAGTGATCTGTGTTTTTCTTTACAATTCAATTAAATGGCTCTCCACCCTAATGTTATTGCATTTCAACAAATACCCTATAAAAAATAGCTTTAGGTTCAATTAGGTGCTAGTTAAGTGTATCATACTCTAGTAAATATTACTATAGAAATATTTTTACTTATTGAAACACGCAAAAATCGTTTTAAACTATATTAATATAAGATTTGTTTATTTTGTTCTTTTTATGTATAATAGACCTTTAAATGCACTGCCTTAGCTGCTTCTCGATGTATTGTAGATTTTAAGGCAGTTATTTATTTACTTATTTTTAATATGGTTAAAAGTTTATAAAGCATAATAAATCTGTATAAAGTGTTCATGTTTCTTTATAAAATATTCTTCACCCGTTCACCAGGCCTCAAAGAAAAACAGATTTGCGAACCGCGCCATCTATTGCTATAATATAGAAATATTCTAAATTTGCCACCATCCACTTGATTTTCACCATAAAACAAAAGATGGCGTCATATGACACTTTCTCAAAGAGTTTCATGTCAACAGATATACTGAAGTGGTGATTTAGAACTAAACAGATTTTAATCACTTGATTGGCTCCAAAGAAAGATGAAAATTAACGAATCAAGGACCTTCGTTCGTTACCTTTTACGGTACTTGTTGCAATGTTTGGTAGTGAGTAATACTGCCTACTCGCTTACCCACAGATTGTTCATTTTATCAGTACCGTGGCCGCGTTTATCGTGGTCGCCTGTGCGAGACGTGCTTTGTGGAACGTTAATAAAATGATAATATAGTGTCAAAAAATGGCAGCTGACAGATTATTTTGGAAAATTGTATTGGACTTTATAGTGTTAGTATGCGGTGAGTAATTTTGTTAAAATTTATTTAGTTAAATATGTTTACTTAAACAGGTTTCGCCTTTGTTTAAACAGTTGTTGACTGTTAATTTATTATACTTTGAGAATAAACTTAATTATATTAGAAGACTAGTGACGAAACTTTTATTAATTAAGATGAATACTTTATTATAATATAAAAACTGCACTATATTTACTAAGCAGTATTTTATATAGGTCATTCAAGTTTATGTTGTCAAAACAAAGCCAGCCCTCGCAAACTTAATAACATAGCTACACTATGCAATAAGGAATAACGAATAATAAGTGATTGGAATCTGTCGTATGTAAGGCCATCCCTCTGTTTATTCTTAATGAATAGTTTAATAAACTGTTTTTATTTATTTAAAAAAGTACTACTTAAAATATTAGGTATTCCTATGTGCAACCATTGACATACGGAGATACTGAAAGCTCTATTTTTTTCGTTCATAGGTTTTTAAATTGGAATAAAAAGATACAAATGTGGCTGTTAAGTTCAGCTTTCGCTGCAATGACGTCATGTTCTTAAAATCGCGGTATTCGTTTTTTTTTGATTACACGGGAATTTGTAACTTTTTATTCCGGTCCGACATTTTTTATGTATAAGGTAAGCCTAATTAAAATATGACTCAGCTATCATGTCACTCAGACGAAAAGAGATAAGGTAGATACGTTATAATTTCATCATCATCAACAGCCTTTAATAGTCCACTGCTGGACATAGGCCTCTGCTTAGAAAGGAGGTTTTGGCCTACTATACCACGCTGGCCAGACGGGTTGGTAAAGGGTTTGTGTCAAGTTTTCCTTCTCTCTGCAGTGCTGTTGTCCTTCTTAGTTTTTTCCCTTAGTCGGCTCTTACGACACCCACGGGATGAATAGGGGTAGTGACACTCTGTATTCTTAATCCGTCACCACACGGACCACGTCCACCACCACGTCATAATTTAAGTAGGTATAAAGAAAATCTCCATCCTTCTACATCCCAACATTTTTATCCCGACCACTTGGATAATTGGCACTCCAGCACTGTGTCCTTCAAGACACTTTTTGCCTCGCACAACCAATCTGTTGAACAAGTTATCGTCTGGTATTTAAGCACCGATACGAACTTCAAACCTTCAAGAAAAGAACTCGTACTCCTTCCTCAAAGGCCGGCAACGCGCTTTTGACTCCTGAGTTGCAGGCGTTCATGGGCGGCGGTAGTCGCTTTCCATCAGGTGACCCGTCTGCTCGTTTGCCACCTCTTCCATAAAAAAAATGTATTTTAGTCTAAAAGCGAAATAGATCTTTCAGGTTATCCGTGTGTATGAAACATCCTTGTATAGACCCCAAGTTTTGTTTTCCCTTAGAATCCCGGATCAACACATACTTATTAAATTAACGATGGCCGTTAAATGTATATCAATACGACATACCTATCACATCAGGTACCGTGAATTTATGTGAATATAAAACATGTCGGCATCCAACTGACTAAAACCAGAAAGTGGTTGTAATTTGGGCTTATGACAAAGAACTCATATATACAGTCTGATGGCCATACTGTGGAGTAAGAGGGCGTCGGAACTGCACGCACTCTCGCTTTCAACCAAAGACAAAATCTTGGTTTTCACGAAAGATTTATCGTACCGATGGCAGTCGCGAGAGTGTTGCTGAACCTAGGCTGAGCACTACATAAAGTTCTGGTTTGTGCGACAATACCTACAGAGAGCCATACATTGGCTCCCAAGATATACAACACCTACCTACGGCAGCAGCCGGTACGACTAGTCAGCGTTAGCCAGTAGTGGAGGCTGCTATTTCTTTTGTCAATCCTCTTTAGAGTTTGAAAGACAGATACCGTAGTTTAAGTCTGACCCAGAAAGACCCCGTTACAGGATTGTGATAGTACCTTGTAGTTTTTATCTATATTTTTTTGGTAATCCAATACAACTACTGTCATCCAGTATACTCGTTCAGTGTTCCCTAGAAATACCTACCTACCTTTCTATACTAATATTATAAAGCTAAAGAGTTTAGAGAACTACTGATCCGATTTGAATTCTTGAATTCTTGTAGTGTTAGATAGCTCATCGGGAGTAACCGTGGTATGAGCCAGCTCAACCTTCCTACACTTCCACCTCTTATCTACGATGGTATGGTTATTTCATATTGTGAAAGCGTGAAAGACCTCGGACTGTATATTGACACGACTCTTAGCTGGCGGAAACAAGTTGCATCTGTGTGCCAGAAAGTCACAGGCTCGTTGCGTGCCCTCTATAGCCTTAAGAACTTTCTGCCAGTGAAAACTAAGGTAATGCTTGTTCAGACTCTAATATTCCCTATAATTGAGTATGGTGATGTGTGCTACTTTGACCTGAATGCAGATCTACTCAATAAGCTTGATATACCCTATATTCTTTACTCTTTTCTCACTTCCACACAGTTCTCACTCCTACTTAACTACTCAACTTCAATATTTGATGCAAACCACTCTAAAACCCTTAGATCTTCAAGCAACCTACGTCTTCACTGTCCCAGTCACCGCTCTGACTTTGTACATTCTACTTTCCTGATACTATCTGTTCTGTTATGGAACGCGCTTTTAAATACCAGTTGCGGAAACAACCTTACCAACAACAACAAGACTCCTTATCAAATCTACCTTACTTACCTAATATATATATATATATATATATAGATACTAGCTGACCCGGCAAACGTTGTTTTGCCATGTACATTATTTCTAGGAAATTTAAAAAAAAATTAGGATGAAAAATAGATGTTGGCCGATTCTCAGACCTACCCGACGTGCACTCAAAATTTCATAAAAATCGGTACAGCCGTTTCGTAGAAGTATGGTAACTAACATTGTGACACGAGAATTTTATATATAAGATATATATATACATATATAATTATATGTTTGTATTATGTGTATGTAAATACTTCTGTATTGTTTGTGTTAGTATCATTATCACTTATTGTATAATTGTATATGTATTATTAAGTAATAATTATTCTAATGTAATTAATATAAGTACTCTGGGTATATGATATCCTATTATGCTATATTTTTCATCAAATCACATTTTAAATTTCTGTGCATTTAAGATGTTTTATCTCTGAATCGCCCTAAGGTTGACTGGGAGAAAATGCCCGGAGAAAATTCCTGTATTAAGTCCGCCTTATTTTTACTTTATGCACAAATGTGACAACATCTGTGCATAAAGTAAAAATAAATAAATGTCTATCTTTTAAAGTTGGCTCTCTATAGCCTTTTTTAATGTAATCAAATTTGTTCTAATAAGGTGGTAATAGAAACATAATAAAATACTATTCCTTTTGCGAGACGCAGAGTAAGTTGCGCGGGTCAGCTATTAAATACAAATATAAAATTCACTTTCGAATATTTTACGATAGTAAATATTATAATTTTTTGAAAATGATTACAAACGAGAATGTTTTGCACTAGAAATACGGTTATATATATAATTATGTAAAAGTACACAAGGAAGTTAACTTAATTACAAACTGTTTTTTTTCTAATGTTATGTAATCGCTTCTTAACGGCACAGTAATACCTGTTTAAAGTAACGAATTTAATATTTAAATCATTTTTGTATATGCAGTTATAATACAGAGATTTTTTTTTTTTGAACAGCCTCGACTGAACAGGTCAGGGATAGATGCAGTACCAACGTCAACTGAGTGAAATTATTTGGAAAGTATTTTAAAAGTCCAACCAAAATGTAATTTAATAACTTCATATTACTAAGCTATTAATCATCATCGCTTGTTTATACATTTAGTCAAAAAATGTAGAACTTAAAAAAAGAATTTAAGTCAAGTATTTTTCAAAAGCCTTTAAAATATTGTTTATACAATTCTGAATTGTGGTAGTAATGTTTAATAATCTTATACCCTTTGGACAGATATAACAACCTTTGAAACCTTTTAGAAAGGCCAATGCGAACATTGACGAAAAGGATGACGATGAATCCATATTCCGACGAATTACATAAAAAAATACTGCACTTTTATTTCCCGAAATTATAATAACTTCACAGTTATTACAATTTCGGGATTTTTTAAATTAATTAATTCAATTTTCTTTTTAATTTTTAATTAATCGAAATTATCGTAAATAGATTTTCTAACTTTATTTTTTAATAAGGTTAGAAAATATATTTACGAGAATTTGCCATGGACCATTTTTTTTTTAAACAATGGCTCATGTGGTCAAAAATTTTGGCGAGTCGCGAGTGGCGACCGCGTACCGGGAGACGGAACGTGGATAGGCGGATGCGGGCAGCAGACCGGTTGTTGTGGCCAATCTTTATGGATACCTATATCCAGCAGGGGACGTCTTTCGGCTGAAATGACGATGAAGATGATGACATAAAAAAAATGAGCCAGTAAATATTCTTTCCCTAAGTAGCCTGTGCAATCACAGTACGGAAGCACAACTACAACGTACGTTTAAAGCGCTGTTGAGGTACTTAAATGTTCACAATGTGTTTTATTGCTTATAGACATTGTTGTCAAACAAAACATTTATGACACGTAAAAACAATGTGCGTTGTATTACTATGGCCGTGTAATTGTTGTTGAATGTTTCACGGCAACATAACCCGCTGCATATTTTTATACAAACACTATGTCCCTGAAGAAGTCACAGAGTCGTGTTAAACGATCACATTTTGTCGAATTTAATTTTAATCCCACCGACATAAGCAAGCCTACAATTGTCGTTAAAGAAATTGGACGGGAAAATATAATAATAATATAATAATTTTACACATCTCACACACGGCTGTCTGATCCCAAACTAGGCAGAGCCTGTACTATGGTAATCAGACTGCTGATAAACATACTTATATATTTCTAAATACATACATAATATAGATAAATTACACCCAGACACAGAACAAATGATCGTGCTCATCACACAATTATTTGTCCTGGGTGGGAATCGAACCCACGACCTCCGGCTTAGCAGTC